CTTCCGGCCTCGTGTGTTTGTGGTCAGGGTTGTGTCGCCTTCGCGGGCACGAGCTGGGCGTGCTGGCGCATCTGTCTGAGCCACTGTGATTTTCGTAGGCGGGAGGACCGGGGTCCGGACTGGGTGACCGAGGCGGGCGGGCCGGGTCGAGGGGGGTGACGGAGGCAAGAGAACCCGGGGTCCAGGCTGGGTGACCGAGGCGGCAGGACCCGGGGTCGCGGGTAGGGGACCGAGGCGGGAGGACCCGGCGTCGAGGGTGGGTGACCGAGGCAAGAGAGCCCGGGGTCCGGGGTAGGTGACCGAGGCGGGAGGACCCGGGGTCCGGGGTGGGGGACTGGGCCCGTGAGGGGCACGAGCCCGGCTGCCGCCTGGGAATCAGGACCGTCCCCAGGAAATCCGAAGGGATGTTTTTGTTTCAGGTCCGGATTCGGTTCCCGGCGGGCCCTTCTGACCCTGTGACTGCCTGGGAATACGATCTGGGGTGAGGTGATTTGTTCCCGTGTTTGTTCTCTTACTTTGTCACATTCTCTGCAGTCATGGTCGGTTATTCCAGTAATGTTGGTCGCGGCATCTTGACTGACTAACGATTTCTAGCTAATCAGTATTTTATTTCTGGACTTTTGAAACAAGGAGCATATTTCTGAGAGTAAAAGTTGTAAGAAATAAGCAGGGATTATAGAAAATATTAAAATGCTAAGTTTGTCATTAATATATTTAAGGAAGGTGCAGGTTCGTACCACAGGTGACAAGTTATGTAGTCACAAAAATAGTTTAAGTATTTTAACGGTGATTAGGGCAGAGCAGACACTTAAAATAAAACTACCTGGGATGGAGGTGTGTCTCACTGTATTGCCCAGGCTGGTCCTGAACTCCTGGCTTCAAGCTATCCCTGCCTCCTTGGCCTCCCAAAGTGCTGAGATCACAGGCTTGAGCCACCGTGCTGGCCTAGGATGATATTATTTATTGTGTTTGGCAATATAATTTTGAACCACATACTGAAACTAAAACTTTGTAATCTAACGTGGACACTTAGAAAATTGGAATCTAAACCTAGAATTTAAATCAAATTAGTTTAAAAAATCCTGAGAGGCCTCTTTTAGGAGCTTTTTCTCAGTTGGGGGTCCCACTCTGTTACCTAGACTCAACCTGGGCTCAGATGATGCTTCCACTCTGACATGTGGAATCCTCCGCACATAAGGGAGGATTCAAAATTGGAGAGGTGGAAAAAAGAAAAAGAAAAGAAACAAAATTGGAGAGGTGGAATCTGACTTGGTAATGTGTATTTCTCCACTAGATGGGGCCAATAAAGTTTCTTTGGCTGTAGTTTCTATTCTGAGAACAGATTTGCAATGTATTAACTATTCCAGAAATAGAAATGTGATTTGTTTTATGATTTTTATACCTGATTTCATATTTTGTCATACAGAATGTTCTATCATGTTTCAGAATTTAGAAACAAATTGGGATGTACTATGTGCAAGGAGAAGTCATTGCAATGTGAAGGGAGCAAGTATGTGTCTACAGAAATGGTTTCCTGTCACATTCTAGTCTTTGTTCAGTCCTAGATTTTTGTTATATTCCCAGGAGGCCAATGCTGACCATTTTTATCTTTTACATTTCAATAGCATCTCTGAATACAAAAATTATCTTTTTAAAAAGAATATAAGCATATATGTAGTATATATCATATAATATGAATGTAAATATATGTTAAATTTGTAAATTTTTAAATTCAAAAACGTTTATTAAACACATGAAAAAATAAATATTACTGTAATGATTCCCATGTACCTATTACATAGCTTTAGCAATTATCAACTCATAGCCAATACTGTTTCATCAATATTCCTTTACCTCTTCCCCTTTCTTTTGAAACAAATCTTTGCATACGTACATAGTATATTGTTAGAGGTGCACACATTCAAAACAAATGTACTATTCTAACTAAAAAATAACGGTATGAACAAAGTATTAAGAGCCCCAAAGGAGTGATTAATTCTGCCTTGGGGAAGAGGACAAATTCAGAGAAATCTTTAAAGATGAAATGACATTGGAGCTATACCTTGAAGGATGGTTAGGAATTTGCCAGGTGGAGAACAGAAGAAAACACATTCTAAGCATTGGCATGGTATGAAGATGGGGTGAAAGTGGGAAAATACATGAATGAATGGAGAACAGAATAATGTATTTGAATATTAAGGCAAATATGCATATTTTTTAAGGAGGTTGCAGGAGATGAAGCTGCAAGGATAGTCTGTGATTATATTTTATGGGAGATTGAGAAATTAGTGATTATAGTTTACCTGCCCAGAAATGTTTTTCTACATCTTTGTAATTAAAACTACTTTTTCTGTGTTTTGTAGATTTCTAAGTCAAGTTTTCAACAATGCTAAAATCAAATGACTGCTCATTTTCTTTGGATAATTTGTTTTTCAACAAACCAGATGAAGTTGAAAAGTAAGTCTGCCTTAAAGATTGATAGCATAGGGTTTGGTTTTTTAATTTAGGGGAATTTTCTCTTTGGTAAATATACAAATAAAAATGAGGGATTAACAGAATGATGTTTTAGCTATATATCTGGTGTACATGGAATTCAGATATAAAGAAGTACCAGAAGTTTAACATGTTAAGTTTTATTTTAAAAATAGAATAAGCTGGGCACGGTGGCTCAAGCCTGTAATCCCAGTACTTTGGAAGGCCAAGGTGAGAGGATTGGCTGAGCCTAGGGATTCGAGAACAGCTTGGGCAACTTGGTGAGACCTCATCTCTACAATAAATAAAAAAACTAACCAGGCATGGTAGCATACACCTGTAGTTCTGGCTACTTGAAAGGCTGAGGCGGAAGGATTACCTGAGCCCAGCAGGTCGATGCTGGGTGGACACTAGGGTGACTATGAGTGTGCCACTGCACTCTAGCTTGGGTGACGGAGTGAGACTCCAACTCAAAAAAAAAAAAAAAGAAAAGAAAAGAAAAGAAAGTGGCACCCACAGACTTGCTTAACATAAGGTTGCCTGCCACAAACCTTCAATGTATAGGTACAGTATCTTGGAAGTACAATAAAGCAAAGCACAATAAAACAAGCTGTGCCTGCGTGTGGTAAGACATAAAATTAGCTGGGTGTGGTAGTGTGCGCCTGTATTTCCAGCTACTTGGGAGGCTGAGGCGGAAGGATCGCCTGAGCCCAGCAGGTCGACACTGGGTGGACACTATGGTGACTATGAGTGTGCCAGTACACTCCAGTCTGGGCAACGGAGTGAGACTCTAACTCAAAAACAACAACAATAAAAAGAATAGAAATTTTGCCTATTTTGGCTTTCATTTATTTGCATTTCTAGTCTGTCCAAATTACTTTTGGACATGGTAGGAACTAGAAATAGTGGTCAAAGACTAACCCAGGACAAGGAGTGATGGCACCTTTTGGAAAAAGAATGGTCTCTGTGGCAAAGGCCAGGTATGATAGGCAAGTTCAGTGCTAGCAGGAAGGAGAGGTGGAAATAAAGATGCGAGACCAAAGGAAACAATAGAGAGTAGATAGTCCATTAAATACTGGCTTTTATTTTTTATTATTTTTGGAAGGCTGAGGCGGAAGTTTCGCCGGAGCCCAGCAGGCCGAGGTTGCAGTGGCCGGGAGCGGCCACTGCACTCTAGTCTGGGTGACAGAGTGAGACTCCAACTCAAAAATGAATAAGTAAATAAATAAATAAATAAATAAAAATATGTAGACTTTTCCCATTCAAATTTAATATATTCCAAAGCATTAGAATGACAGCATCAGGAAACTTTTGGTTTCAAGCAACAGAAATTCAGCTCAAACAAAGAAAATGGTGGTTTCCTGTAAGGGCCAGGGGGTCATTCTTCCAGAAAGGAAGAATGGAGCCCTTGAGGTGGCAGAAGGGGAGCTGGCCTGGGGTTGACAGACTCTGGGGGCTGAAGTCTGGCCAGGACTGATTCCATCTTGCACTGTGACATTCTTCAGTGGTGTGGTTTCACACTTTTAAAGACAAAGATGGCCTTTCTCCATTGAGAAAGGTAGCTG